TTTTTTTTTTTTTTTTTTAAATCCACCTACCTTATGAATGGATCATGAGACCCTCTCCAAACTACTGTTAGATACCAAAAACTGCTGACAACAATGGCAGTTATGCTAAATTATTTACAGTCGCATGATCAGTTCTCAGAAAACTGGAAGGAATTTGGCTATTGAAGAGTATAACATATTATATATATATATATCTATAGAGTCTGTATTTTGGGGGTTTTTTAAGTTATTACTCAGAGCATTTGTATAAAAGCAGGATTTTTTTTCTTTATAATGTGAACTGCAGTACTTTTAACCAAACCTAACTAAATGGTTGCTGGATGCCCAAACATAATTAGCAGGCATTTCAGAGAACCTTTAGACTGTCTTACCTCTTTCTTTTAAAGGTCCCTGAATTTACTGCCCTGCAATCACCAACTTCCCACTCCACTGAGACGTCCCAGTGTGGACTGGGTTGTTGATATCAGTAACACCACTGATCGACGCTGGAGCGGGGAATCTGCCTATGAGGAAAAGGTAAGTTTGGTTTTATTCAATATGGAGCAGATCTCCAAGATTTTCTTTCTAAATTCTTATTTTATATCCCAAGTGATTTAAAATAAGAATACTGAAAACCTTAAAAAAAAATCATCCTACTGTCTATAGGTTAGATGAAATGCCTGCTAATTAGTAATTGCATTTATTAGGGCTTCCAAGATTGCTGGGTGGTGGTTTTGTTTTTAAAAAGAAACATTCCAGTTTGCAATTAAGAGTTCTTCTGCTACTGCTATTTATTCCCCACTTCAAGTAATCATAATCCTTGGTCTGAGACATCAGACTTTGTGGGCATGGAAATGCCTTATTTGAGAAATATGGAAGTATAACTTCAGGTAGGGAATTTATAGCAAAACCAAATGGATTTGAATAGTAAAAATATTTAGTACCTCAAAATTTATATATATACTTTCCATCTTCAAAGTACCCTACAAACATCTATTGGTTAAACCTAATGCCCGTCAGAGTGTTACTAGTCCCATTTTACAGATTACAAAATTGAGGTAAACGGATTAGATTATTTTGTGGCCCCAAAATCGCCATGTTAGCACTGGGATTAGAACTCAGGCCCTCCCAGATCCTAGATTTGTGTCCAAACCACTAGAACATGCCTCTCTCAAAGATCCTGTTTCATGCAAATATACTGAGTAATAAAAACAACCAAAAAGTACAAAAAAGTGTATTAGCAGAATGGTTCAGAGAGAATAGCTTTGTGTTGTAAATCTTGGGTTTCAAATGGGTCTAGACTTGCTAGAGCTAGAGAGTTTAATGTATCAGCAGGGTTAAATCAGACTTCATCTTTCTTACACAGGCTGTGTGCGCACATGCGCGGAAGTATGTGTAGAAGACAAACAGGTCTTTTGGATGAAACCTATACTGTGTGTGGATATTGAAAATCTCATGATCCCACTGTGACACTCTATTTCAGAGGAACACCCTGAACCCCGATGTTTATCCATCTAATAGGATTGTGTAGCATCCAATGCAAAGTTTATCATGTCAGGTGTCTTTGGAAGGCTTATGATGCACTGATCATTGTTGTTATAGTAATGTAATAGGTTGTAATTTCATGTATATAATTATGAGGCTGAAAATGTGTCCTCATGGCTTAAAACAAGCCCAGGCAAAACTCTCCAGGAGCAGAGGGGCAGTTCACACCTCATCAGGGCATGTATGGGACAAACCCAGCCCAGCCTCACAGGAACAAAGGACACTGGCCTAGGCAGCAACAAAGGATCTGTTGGACTCTCGAGAGAGTCACCCCCCTTCCCTTGGTCAGTCTGGGACTACGATGAGGTAATGCTCACCTGACCCTGAAGGGGGGGGCAGGGGCAAAGCCAAGAGGGAAGAAAGAACATGATAAAAGGGAGAGACATTTACCATACTCTTCCTCTCTTCCACCTCCATCTACAGACACCACCACCAAGTGACTGACGCGCTGATCAAAGGGGAGAGCCTGGCTGAAGGGCAACCAGCCAGCCTATGGTGAGAAGCATCTAAGTTTGTAAGGGCACTGAAAGTCTTAAGATCAGCTTAGAATGCGTTTTGCTTTTATTTCGTTTGACCAAATCTGATTTGTTGTACTTTGACTTATAATCGCTTAAAATCTATCTTTTGGTAGTTAATACATTTGTTTGTTTATTCTACCTGAAGGAGTGTGTTTGGTTTGAAGCGTGTCAAGAGATTCACCTTGGGATAACAAGCCTGGTACATATCAATTTCTTTGTTAAATTGATAAACTCATATAAGCTTGCAGCGTCCAATGGGCATAACTGGACACTGCAAGACGGAGGTTCCTAGGGTTATGTCTGGGACTGGAGATATTGGCTAGTGTCATTTGGTTGCACAATCCAAACAGCGGCTGGCCAAAAGTGCTCACTCATGTAACTGGGAGCAGCTTACATGCTATAGGCTGTGCGTGAACAGCCTGGTAGTAGGGGTTCTCACAGCAGAGCAGGGTAAGGCTGGCTCCCAGAGTCGAGGATTGGAGTGACCTAGCAGATTCTGATCCAGATAACACCGGGGAACGTTACACCCATGTCTCCTTATGTAATAGGGGTTTGCCCTGTGTCCTTAGCAAGAATGTCCCAACCCCCACAGTTGTATAGCTGTGATTGTCAATTTGGTTTCTACCTTCCACCCAGCTATATGTATTAATTACTTAACATTGGGATGAAAGTTAATATATACATTTAAGATATTATTACTGAAAGCTGTTTTCAAAGTTGTCCAATTGTTCTTTAAACCTGGATTCTTAAATTCTGAACACAATCAAAACACTAAAAATTTTAATCAAATTCAAGAACATTTAGAGAGAAAAAACTGACAATATATATACAATTTTTACCTTAAAAGTTATAATTAAAAATGCAAATGGTAAAGTAAACAAAGCCGGTTCAAGCAATGCTGAAGACCTTCCCAACCCCACTCCCCCATCAAGTGGGCCTCCACATGATAGAAACCTAAATTCAGTGAGACCCCTTATCACTCCACTTGCCACAAGCTGTCCTATCATTCTAGTTCAGGGGCCACCGCTTATTCCCACAGGGAAGCAACAAGGAATGTATCTAGAAGTAGTGGTGTGTATTTCTGAATAGTTACAGAATTAATGGAATTTTTTTTTTAAATACAAAGACAGAGCCTGTGATGTGACCCATCCAGGGCTGCAATACATACTCTGATCTCACCAACAGCTAAGGATCTTATTAATGTGACACCTTTAATATGGACTTTCATATTCCACATCACATAGCACCAAATGAACAATAAAGATCTCACTGGCGCCCATCCTTGGAAAAGTGGGCTCCCAAGTGTTGATTGACTCCTGAGGCTGCAGATTTGGTATCATTGTCAATTGGCCTTGAGAGTAAATCCATGCACCAAAATTCGAAGAATTATTTCAAAATTATGACAACTTACATTCTCGTATTGCTAGTTTTGTTTATTATCACTGACTTCCCACTCTGGTCCACATTATGTTCCAATCCAAAGTAAGCAGCTACTCTGTGCAACAGCATTCTATGGTAAGATGTCATGGGGGGAAACTTTTTGCGTGGAATTCTGGAAGAGAAAAGTATTCATTTTACGAAACAACAAAAATACTTTTGAATAATTTTTTTGTTAAAATTGCAGCACTTACTCGTTATTACCAATGAAATCTAAAATTTCCTGTTCTAATTTCAGCAGCATCATTCTGTCCCTGAAAATAAAATACAACACTCATATAGGAAACACTCCAGAATTGCAAATATATGATTTTTAAACATGCACAGATAACATCCGTTCCCCTAACGACCAGGCAACGATGGCAGTTTACCAGGACCACCACAAGGTATCTAATTTGCTAGAGTGTGTGTGTGGATTTTTAGAGTAGAATTGTTCTGTCTTGTAAGAAACCAGAATACAAAGAGTCCTCTCAATCTCTCTCTTCCCATGAGAGTCAGCAAAAGAACAGTCATTGAGATGATGTGATCAAATGAAAAGAATAAAATGGCTTCAAATCACTACAATCGTGGTCCCTGCTGGTTGATATGGGTAAGCAGGACTCCCAAATGGGCCTGGCGCAAAAGACAGTTACCTCCTGTGCAGGAGATGGGTCGCTGGCCATGGGGCTGTCCACACTGCTGGCTTGGGCATGGCCAGGAGGGGTATCAGCAGTTGCTGGGTCTCTGCAGCCTCTGAACAGGCCAAGAAGGCGGCGGAGATGGGAGGTGGGAAAGGGAATGGGGGCTGGTCCCCTGTCTCTGCCTCTCCTATGGTCAGTGCAGCTGGCACCCCCTACTCCAAAGTGTGTGTGGGGAACTCTTCACTCCTGCACAGGCCAAAGGGTCTCAGCAAACACACTGACCACAGTAGGGCAAACTGCCTGTCTCTTCCCTGAGGTAGGAAGGGGAGGGGAATGCATACCATTAGAAAAATTTCTGGGAGTGTCCTTGCCTTGATATGTCATTCAAGTTCAAGTAAGAGGGGTGCTATTCTCTTATGTAATTGAACTATATACTTCTTAACCCCATTAATGCCTTAATGGCTAAATTCTAAAAGGTTATCTGATTCTAGAATCTAGAACTATATTTCTGCACGTGGCTCGCCAAGGTGCCCCAAAATTTCCATCCATCCCATAACATTGAAAACACTGACCATCCAAAATGTGCAATTTCTCCCTGTAACTTAGACTCTGGCGTCTTCTATACAGGACCAAAATAAAACAAGGCAATATGTCACAAAATATATATACACACTTGAATTTCTTTGCCCTTTTCATAGCTCTCTATAGATAACAATACATGAAGAGTTTTTAAAATATGATTATAAAACATTCTTTAATGAAAATATGTAAGAGTCCCATTTTATTATTTTTGTCAACTGCAGATCTTCATTCTCAATTTCTTCTTCAAATTCATAACTATGAACATAAAACCATGAATAAAAGATAAAATATTTCATTTTCATCTTTTTTTCAAATATGGCCCAGGCAGGTAGTGAAAGTAGTTACCATCTGATGGCTGCTTGTAACTTAAATAACGTGAGTTTCAATACAGTTCTTAGTGTCCCCATTACCACAATTATGAATACAATTGGCATTAATTAGAACTTTTATTTGAAGCCTCAGTAAAGGCACCAAGGAATTAATGGGAATGGAAAATTTACTGAACTTTCAGCCCTAGAAGCAATTCATCCAGGTCAAGACTGAGACAAACTGATGGAGGAGCAAGGGGAGGCTTGACCTGCTGCTGCCAGTGCTACATTGTCATGTAACCTGTCATCTTTCAGCAGCACTAAATTCAACTAATGTTAAAAATTTCATGGATGCTTAGATTTTAAGACCAAAAGAAATAATTACAATCATTTAGTCCAATCCCCTGCAAAATCCAGGCCACAAAATTTCACCCCATAACACCTGCATCAAGCCCTTAACTTCTGGTTGAGCCAGCATGTCTTTTTGAAAAATACCCAATCTTAATTTAAAGACTTAAAGTGATAGAGAAGCTATCCATCCCCAGCTATCAGATTCCCTTTGTTCTAATGGTTAATTACTCTCACTGTTACAAATTTGCACAATCTTTCCGGTCTTCATTTGCCTTGACAACAGCTTCAAGTCGTGACAACAGCTAAGCAGCTCATGCACTGAGACTACTGTCTCTCATGCTGACCAGTACTATTTCATTGTTTCCTTGTACTCCCCTCCAGTTTGTTGTATTCACTTATTGTCTCTTGTTAGATACTTCGGATTGTAACTTTAAAAAAAGTTACCTAAACTGGAAAGGATGGTTAAAAAACTGTTTTTGGTGGAGAGGGAGGAGAAAAAGTCCATCTCAGCAGCAGTATCTTAAATGTTTTCTAAACTCACAACTGCTCATGATTAACTAAACTTTTTCATTTATAAATATAAAATCAGTCACTAACACAGCTAGTGTAGCTTTAAAAGAGAAACAGTACAAAACAACTGTTTCAGTGAAAACTGTGGCCCTTATATCATTTGGATCAGCATCACGATAAAAACTACTGAAAGATGGCTGTATTATACAGCTTGGCTTGCATGGTTCTCAGGCGGAAAAAACATTATCCACACCAATCAAGCCAGTCATAGCTACAGCAGTATTCTTATCCCAGTAATAACAAGACCCATGAATTTGGAGCTCGCGTACCCTGGGGATGGACTTTGTACAAGTTAGATAAGACAGAAGTCCACAAAAAGGGAGCATGTTTGACAGTTTGAAAAGAAGAGTAGAAAAATCAAGCCCTGACATTTAAATTTTTAAAAAAAATGTTTTCAGAAACATTGTATAAATTTTACAATTATATGAAACTGAAGATGTTAAATACCAGACTCAATGTGTTGGTTATGCCCTACAGTATCCTCCAACAGATTGAAGAGTGATAGCAAAGCTGATTTTGCCTAGGATGTCTCTTCTGGGCCCTGAGACCTCTTCTTACTTATGAGAAAGAACCAGAAGATGTGCAGTAGATCCTGTTGCCCAACTCCTCCCCGTATCTCAAATAGTTTTGTTGGTACCCCTAAATCCTGCTCACCCCTGCACAGTAGAACCAGGTCAAATCTGTCGCCAGAGAGACCCTGGAGGTCCAAAGAGGTTAAGGAAGGATTTCAAGTATCAGGGGGTAGCCGTGTTAGTCTGTATCTACAAAAACAACAACGAGTCTGGTGGCACCTTAAAGACTAACAGATTTATTTGGGCATAAGCTTTCGTGAGTAAAAACCTCGGTCCTTGCCTTGATATGTCATTCAAGTTCAAGTAAGAGGGGTGCTATTCTCTTATGTAATTGAACTATATACTTCTTAACCCCATTAATGCCTTAATGGACTAAATTCTAAAAGGTTATACTGATTCTAGAATCTAGAACTATATTTCTGCACGTGGCT